CCCATCAAAGTGGTCAGGATCAAATATCTTCTTATTACTTTGAAGCCATATAGACCAAATGATAGCATCAAAAAGGAGATCACAGTCAGCCTCCTCGCGCGCATAAAATTGCGGTGACGTTAAATTAATCTGAATCCAGTTATTGATGTGCCTCGAAAGGAAATCCGACAGCTTATCCATTTTCACAACACTAGGCTAAATTGCAATCGCTGAAGAGCAATTCCAAAAATGATGATCAATTATTACTCCCGCAAACGCCACAATAATCATCCGTGCTCATGTGACGACGAACACGTTCGGCATTAGTGAGAATACACTCACAAGATAACAACCATAGAAAAAGTTTAATCCATTGTAACCCATGATACTTTGCAATAGCCTCCCAAACTTTGTGCGGATAATCACATGGTTCACCTAATCGTATGGCATAAGTAGATTTAACCGAGAAATAAAGATCGACTCTTCATTTCCAGCCCGGTACATCCATCCTATTACTTGGCAGCGGAGGCATCATAGCTGCCAGGTGGAGCAAAATAGAATCCCTCAGAATATTGTTAATAATTGACCAACGCCACTCCCCATTCCAATCAACCCTGGAAGCAACACGCCGACTAGGAAGTGAGTCCCTCATCGACTAATCCACAAAATGATCATGTAATGGACCCATATCGTCAAGTCATGCATCACCCCAAAAGCCCACGCAACAAGCATCACCAATGTTTCAAACAAGGCTTTTTCGGACATCATTCTAAACTGTGGAAATCCCTTTCCATAGGCGGGAACAATTCTTTTCAATCAACAGAGTTCAGTATACCCACCGTCCATTTATATTTAGTTCGAAGAATGCTAATCCAAAGCTTTTCTTCCTTATGTAAAATGTTGTAAGCTATCTTCATTAAAAAAGCGGCATTTTGTAGCTCCAATTTCTTCATTCCGAGACCCCTTTGCATAGTAACATAAACGAACCAATTGAGAAGATAAACGGTTAAACTTGAACTTAGGAATAAACAAGACATTTTTAAGAACCAATTGAGAAGGTAAACGAACTGTGCCAGCTAGAGTAACATAAACTATTGTCTGATTAGGAAGTATAATAGAATTATTTTTAATAGAAGATAAGGTCTTAAAAAAAACTTTTAAAACAACAAATATGCCTCTGAATCAATTATCCAATAGTTACAAGTACAAGAAGAAGCTAAGCTATTTATATAAGATAAAATTATCTTACCTTGCATAGAAAGATTTATGGATGTAGAAGGTACATCAGAAATGGAGGCAGTCTGCAATTGTGTGGTTAGCATAACGATAAATTGTTGACATTGCTGTATGGTTAAAGAATCAGTTGCATCACCATTAATATTTTCGGTGCCATTGATGTTACCATTATTATTAGTACGAGCATATCCTAAAGAAGATTCAGAAACGACATTAGTATGCGAAACATGAATTCTTAGAGCGAGTACCATAACCTGGAGGATAACCATGCAGCTTATAACACTTGTCCTTAACAAATGACAATGAGTACAATATGATCGAGACTTTCTTGTTGAGTAGGAAGCTTTAACAGTAAAAACAACTTCTGGAGCAGATAAGAAAATTGATCTTTGATTTTCTTCTTGTAAAATCCAAGAAAAAAAACCTTAACAAAATCTGAGCACGAATATGAGCATACAGCTCATGAAGCCCCATTAAAAACTACATTGTTTGCTCTCTTTAACTATCATCTAATATTTTGCGAACACCTCCACAGGTGTATTGCAAACAAGAACAAACTGGTTTGACAGAAATAATTCATCCCAGATGATTTTAAGCCGAGTGTAATAAGTGCTAACAGAAATCAATCCTTGGTCTAACTCGTTGAGTTTCTTCTTGAGATGGAAGATGCATAGCCAGTTTAACTGTTGGAATCTATCTTCAAGATCTTTCCATATTACAGCAGCAGTAGAATGATAAAGAAGACTTGCTGCAATTTCTTTGAAAACAAAATTCATTAATTCAAGATCCAAGAATTCACAAGGTTATTAGCTCTTGTCCAACCATTATACAATTCTTTTGACTGTGATCGGACTATTAACAAACCCAAGCTTATCTTTAACAAACAAAGTCATTACCATGAAGCGTTTGTTGGAAATAAAACACTCACACAAACAACTTTTATTGAAACTCAAACAAATATTACAAGAGCACTCTCACTCAAAAACAAGAACTACAATTCACTCTTATAAGACTTTACTTCTTCACTCACTTAAAAACTCTTAATTTTTCTTGATGCTTAAAACTAAAATGGGGAGGGGTATTTATACTACTCAAGAACAATCCTACACCGCACAAATAAACTAATTTAAACCATTAAAGTCTACAAATACTTAACTCTCACCTAATTAAATTGATGTAAGCAATGATATCATTACTTAAATGACGTAAGCAATGACATCTTTACTTAAATGATGTCAATGTAAGCAATGACATCAATTTAGTTTGGGTTTGGGTTTAGACTCCCATAATGGATCAAGTTTATGATCCAACAGTGTTTCCAACTGTTGTAATTATCATTGGTTAATGGTTGAGTAACCAAAATCATTCCTGGATTATCAAACTGATGAAGATAGTAAGGATTGCCACCATTATCAAACTGATCATTAAGATCACCCTTGATGAAGACTAAGAAAGCAAAGAAACAAAAGAAATGAAATACTTCTTTATAAATGTGGAAGCAATGAAGAAAACGAAACTACTAATACCATATCAAAGATAAGAAGTGAAAAAAAATCACTTCTTTATTAACCAAACTTGCTAAGTTTCCAAAGAACTGATTTAAACATTTAAGAGTACAGTTTCCTTATATATATATATATATAAGCTGTTAAACCCTAAGTAACTCTTACTGACTTAAACTATCCTTCTAAAATATTAGTTATAACATACACAAAACGAACATAATTATGATGGAAAGAAAATCATATCCGAGTCCGAGTAACATAACTACTTCCCTTCATAATATTCTTGTTTTTGCTGCACTTTGAATCAATATGACAAGCGAGGCTTGATCCAGGATCAAAGACAAACTCGAAACCGTCGTCCATCGATTCAATTTCTCAAGATTGTCCAAGTTCCGAACTAATCTTCGTTAGGACTAACTGGAAGTCATAACATATTCTTACATACATGCATACGTACATACATACATAAATATTTACGTACTACCATCCTTAGACCTTAGTTATGTTTTTGGTCAAATAGCTTTTTGATGGAGAAGACATTCCCGATCCTCGCCCCCTTTTTCCTCCGAAATTATCAGAGAAGCTCGTTTTATTGTTTCTGAGCATCTCAAAGGTGCAAAATTTGATTCCAAGCTGTTTAGAATTTGTTTTCTTAGAGCACTTTGAGATGCTATTTGCAGTGAAAATACTCTTTGTATTCAAGAATTATATCGTATGTATTCACCCGATGTTAGTGACTAAAAGAATGCTAAAATAAATTAATGACCAAATAAATAGTTTACCTTATATTCTTTTAGGGTAAATTACACCCATGGCCAGTTAACTATGGACAAAATTTATTTTAAACACTTATAATTTAATTTTGTCAATCAAACTACTTAACTATTAAGTGTTGTTAATCAAGCCAACAATCATTAATATTTAATAAAAATTAATATAATTACACATTTAATTATTATTACTTACACAGTCTATCAATTTGAACATAATTTTTATTTAATTTAATAAATTTAATAACTATTTAGATTATAACATAGTTCGCCACTTAAATTAGGCGGAGAAGAGGATTAAACCTAGGTATAGGGATAGGTTTGCACACACATCAACCATCGGGCTAAACTCTTTATTGGTTAACAACTTACAAAATTTTGCAATTAATAAGAATTAAATATGTAATTATACTAGTTTTTTTAGTAGGCATGTCGACTTCTCTATTAAATGTTAATGGTTGGTGACTTTAACAACATTTAAATAGTAAAATGATTTGATTGACAAAATTAAAGAATCGATGGTTAAAATAAAACTTGTCCATAATTAAGTGTCATGGGTGTAATTTACTCTATTTTCTAAAACCAAGACGAAATTGATTTATGGAATTGTTTCATGTTTAAATATTTAATTTATGCAATCAATTATTTAAAAAAACTTATTTAACTCATTTAATTTAGATTTTCAGAATTATCGATTTGACTGAAATTTTCGCTTTAGAGAATTTGGAATTTGAGTTATTGATAGATTAATATAAAAATAAGTGTTTAAACTGTAATTTGAAATATAATTTGGTATTTACATAATTTTTTTATTAAAAATATGTGTTTATTGTTATTTTTTATTAAAAAATCTCCCTCTCTCTTCTCCCTCTGTGTTCTCCTCCCTTGTGAACGGCCAAAGGTCGATTGTCACGGTTCTATTACAACCAACCAAACTAAAAAAGACAGATTATTAAATCTGATTAACCGATTACCATAATCGATTTAAAAGAGTTTTAGAGATTTAAAACTCTAAAATAAAATCTTTAATTTATATCAACTTTAGGTGTTTGATAGGTTGTGAAAGTACGGAAGTTTGGTTGTGGGTGGTGGATCGATCACATGTTGTTAGGTTTTCGATCGATTGACAGCGTTGGTGGTGACCGACGGTGGCAAAGAGATTAAAATTAAAGTTTTAAAAGTTTTTGGATTTTTTAAGATTTGAAAAAAATAGTTTCTTTTAAATATATATTTTTTATTTTAAATAAAAATCTTAAAATTATTATAATGTGACTTGTATCATATAACAAAATTTTTTAATAACGATTAACTCTTGAATACATAAAAGTAGTATAATGTTAGAAATATTAAAAACCTATTTTTAGTAAAAATTATTTAAACATTAAATCGTATTTATTCGAAATATAGTTAGGTTAGGTATTTATTTTTATATTAAGCCTTATTGATATTTAATTTTATGAGATTTTTCATTATCTATTGAGTCCCCCCCCCCTAGTGTATAAGCCTTAAATTGCTTACACATTAAGTAAAAGTATCTGATTCTTTGCTTAGCTCAAGCTAAAATGTCAAATTCAGATTAAAATGAATTCTTCAAATTCATTTGAATTTTTTTCCATATGAACTCAAATGCGAAAACCCAATTTCATAATCACCATCTTATTATCCATAGCAATCTCGATTCTCTTCTTCAACAATCTCTCTGTTGAGTCAAACCTCAGTATTGAACCCATGGCCACTATTCCCGGCGGAGTTCGCCCTTCCGGCGGATCTCAGAACAGCGCGGAGGTCGAAAACCTCGGTCTCTTCGCCGTCGACGAGCACAACAAGAAAGAGAACGGTGCGGTTGAGTTTGTGAGGGTGGTGAAAGCGGCCGAGCAAGTAGTGGCTGGGACGCTTCACCGTTTGACGGTGGAGGCCATTGATGGCGGCAGAAAGAAGCTTTATGAGGCCAAAGTGTGGGTTAAGCCATGGATGAACTTCAAGGAATTGCAGGAGTTCAAACATGCCGGTGCTGCTGACGACGATTCGCCTTCTTTTACCGTTTCGGATCTTGGGCTCAAGCAAGGTTTGTTCATGACTTAATTTTCCTTTGATTTTAATCAGTTCTTGTGGGAAATTATTAGAATTTCCAGGAGAGAAAAATGAAGATTGATTGATATAGAGAGTAGGTTATGCACTATAGATTGAATTTGAAAATACAAATTGAATACATACTCTTATTTTGTTCTTACCCTCACACCTATTGAATGACTTAAGTGATAAAATAAATATTAATAGATTCGAGTTCAAGCTACAAGGTGTGACAAATGTCAATAAACACAAATATATTTAATAGAAGTATGATTAGACTTGTTTAAGGTCTTTCTAAATAGACACGATGTATCTTTTCCTATGTTCTTTCCATTATTCATATGTTTGATAGAAGTATGATTAGACTTGTTTAAATTCTTTCCATATTCATATGTACTTTGAGGATCTTTGAAGGTTATATCTTCGTATCCATGTGTCGGATATAAACATGATGCATCTTTTCCTATTAGTAAGTGTAGGTTTAAAACATACATTCCTTTTCTTTTCTTTTTTGTTAGTTATAAGAAAATATCTGTTCGAAAGTTTTTCAATCTTTTGACAATGTTATTGTGTTCAAACCCGAGACCTCTAGGGTTAAAAACCATCATTTAACTACTTTGGATGTTGCAACATAGATTCTTCCTATATCTTTTGTTTCATATGAAACTCAAATCAATTATTTGCTTTAAAATAGATGGTCATGGCTCTGGATTGCAATCTGTGCCAACACATGATCCTGTTGTTCAAGATGCTGCAAACCATGCTCTCAAGACCATTCAGCAGAGATCAAATTCCCTCATGCCCTATGAACTCAAAGAAATCGTTCTTGCCAATGCGGAGGTATTTAAATTTCGAGTATACAATGGATTCAGATACGCTACAAAAAAATAGTATTTAAATTCGATGTAGATTTGGATAGTAATATTGAAGTTGCTTTCGTTGAATGTCCTACACAGGTGGTGGAAGATTTAGCAAAACTCGAAATGCTTCTCAAGGTGAAGAGAGGAGACAAGGAAGAGAAGTTCAAGGAGGTGCACCATAAGAGTGAAGGAACTTTCCATCTCAACAGCATGGAACCAGATCTCTCTTGAAGCTAATGATACATAGTTTATGCTACACGTACGCGTGTATGTGCCTGATATGAATGTGTTCGATTTTCGGGATCATGTACTTGTCATTATGTAGATATACATAGTGTTTCAATATTTATACTTAAAGAAAATAAGAACTAAAGTTTGGTGCCATCAAAGCCTTCTCTTACCGTGGCAAAAATTATGTTTAACTATGGTTTTCATTAATTCACATGCGTGAAAAGAAAGCTTGCAATGCATCTATCACAAGTTTGAAGAGTGCCCGGTTTTATTTCCGACAACGAGGAGGGATCGGAATCATTTCTTTCTGCAACTCGGCAGGCAAACATATTATTCCCATTGCTGAACTTGGTAAATCCAGTTGAAGAAATGGGCAAAACCAAGTAATTTGACAATAACAAAACTAAAGTTAATGAGCTAAGTCGAAACAAAACATGCAATAAGATCATAATTACACGAAGGAGCCACAAATTTCTCCTTCCATAACAAGCAGGTTCCCCGACTAGCGTCTTTCGGTTGTGAAAATCTACCATTTTAAAGTTATGTTAACGAATGCTATAACAGAAAGTAAACAATGACGGATAAACAAATACAGAGAGAAGAGAAACGCATTTGAGCCCTTGAGACCTACATAGGATATATTTGCATATTCCAATAAGATCATATTGACTATTTTCGCATTTTCTCAATCTTATCTACCCGGGTGCTAAACTGATCTTGACTGCTAATTTTTTCTGGAGTCGAGCTTTGTAGCTACTTACCCTTCCTCATCATAATCTTCTTCATCCTCGTCTAACCTTCCACCAAATCGAGTGAGTTGAAGAGGATCGATAGCCATCTTGTCCATATCTGAAAGAGACCAACCAGGGTATTCTTCGTGTTTAGCTTCTGTTGTAAGCTCTGCCGAAGAAGATTGAGCAGCTGCCGCTGGTGCTGTGACCACTGGTGCAGCAGCACCGGCTGACGCTGCAGGTGCAGCAACTTTAGCAGCGGCTGTGGCTGGAGGTGCAACAACTCTAGCAGCAGTTGCTGAGGCCTTTGTATCCACGTTATCATCTACCTCAGCATTCAGATCAAAATTCCTAATAGGTTGATTGCCATCTTCACCAATTCTTTTCTCTTTAACTGGTTCCCTCAACTCGGAATCATCATCTATCGCCATTCCCGGGGTTGAATGACTTTTGTTGTTTTGCTCAAGTGTTGAGCATGGTTCTGGTTCTATTTCACGATGAGCATCTCTTTCCACATGTCGAGCTCCTCTTCCACGACCCCTGCCTCGTCCCCGGCCTCTCCCTCGGCCGTTGGTTCCAGCATGACCCACATCATGCCGCTGAATACATGAAAGAAGGAATTCATCCAGCGTAAGTACTTCAATTCACACAGAAAAAATGGCATGCTCCAGATAATGACATTTGAATGACAAATTCAAAATGGACTTGTTTGGCATAAATCATTCTATAGAGTTTCGCACAGGTTCATCCTATGTTCTATAGGCTCATAGCCTGTATGTCCGTACATATACACACACACAGATACTTGAATCGAAGCCGTCTTACCATTCTGCTTCTCTTTGATTCTTCATCACTGTCATTGACCTCATCTCCAGTAGCTTTTCTGTTAGAATGATACAGAAAAATATAACCAAATTAGTGAACTTTTTACAAATTGAGAAGAAACATGTGGGATTCAGGTCTTCTCTAACCTTCTACGGGAAATGGTTCGATCATCAGTAGCAGCGGCCTCAGAATGGCCATGACCATAATCGGGAACCCGGCTAATAATGTCCCTCAGAAAGTCAAAAACATTGTAGCTCTGTACACAATGCTTTCTGCAATTTAGATAGATGCTTTTGTTAGAACAATGCACAATACATAGAAATTACAGAACACTACGGGTAACAAAGAACGAGATCCGAAGACACATAATATGATACCAAGCTGATCACAAAGCTTGTTAGTCTAAAAATGTAGCGTGATCGAGAAAGGATGAAAAAATAGATCCCCTTCTCCCAAAATTGTGATTCACCATTTATACTAATCTTCATAGAGGATCTATAAGACTTTTGGACCCAAAAGGGGGAAATCCGGACCAAGACCAACATAAAATTAAAATCTTTGCTGTCCTGACAGACCAAAAGAGGGTTCGCTTACTTGGGATTAGGAAAAATGTTTGGGAGCTAATGATTTAATGCAAGTAATTACTTAAGTTTGATACTTCTGTACATTCTTTGGATCATTTGAGGCATTGGATACATTTCCTGTCCTCAGTCTTATGGTAATCTGACACTTTAGTTCTCCTGAAATACGATAACCCTCCAAATACATACAAAAAACTTTAAAAAATTGAACATATCCGTATAGGACACAGACCAACATCCAAAACTCCCAAGTCCAACTAACATAGCCTAATGCCTCTCTCTGTCTCCTTCTACGCTCTTTTTCCCTCCTCATCTTTTCTTCTTTAAATCATAAAGTGGACGACAGATATTGCTCGCTACAAAAAGAATAATGCTAATTATTTACTTACAAATGCAATGAATTCATGGTTTTTGCTCCTCTCTGAAGAGTAATCTCATACGTACGATCACAGAGGTCTTGAAGAAACAATTCCAATGCTTTCGCTGAAAAGTAATAGAAAGAAGCATGAGCAAGTAATATACATTTCCTATAAAAAAAAAGCAAGTAACATACATGCATGGATGATTTATCTCAGTCAATCATGAAAGTTATTGCCACTCACAAACTAAAATGGGCACTGCTAATGCAATCTTCCCTACATCTTCATCTGCTTGCATAATCTTTTTAATGCGAGCCTGAAAAATAAATATCTTTGGAAGTTCAGTTTCAGCTTTAATCATGGCTGACATCGGTAAATGTTACTATCATTCCAAGAAGATGGCTCATAGCCAGGGATGACAACACAACCCATGGTCCCCAGGCATATAGGAAACATAGGAAAAACATTTTCTGTGGGCTTAACCAACTTTTGAATCATTAAGTCACATGCATATTCACCAGGCAAAAAACAGCTCGAAAGACGCAACGTTAAACGAAGTTGTGGAACCATAAACTTGTATATCTTAATTATAAGACATTACCAACTAATATCGGGAAATCCTAATATAAAACAGCAACCCCCAATTTCAGTAAGAAACCTGACAGGAACTATTACATACTGACAGAGAACACCATGAGAAGAAGATAGGATCTTTGACGCATCGATGTCCTTATCGCCATTAGGTGAGGGAATAATTTGGCATGCATCCTTGTAAGTTGCTGGTTTAATACCGTCAACTGATCAATATAACACAAGTGCCAAGTGAGGTGTGAGAAGATAGGCCACGGCTAAGCTACAATACTCTAAACTTAGGCGTGAGGGTCGGATGGGGATAGTGTTTGACATAGGTTTGTTTAATTTTTTCCATGTCTAAGGTCGTTGGAAGGTCAGAGTATGGGTACTTCCAATGATGTCAGGACCAAATTAGGACATGATTAACAAGAAACTAAAGTTCCAGACGTCAGTAAGCCAAACATTCTGCTGACTAAGAACTACCAAATAATAATTGGGAAATTTAATCTCCATATCTAAATAAAACCACCGACTTCAAAGAACTATCAAAAAACATTATTAAACTAACATGAGGTTTTCATAGAACATCCAAAAACAAAGAATCCTCCCTAGAATAGCTCTGGAAAATACAAATCCAACAACATAGTCCGTGAAATTCCAAATAACAAAACCAATTCTAAAATAAATATCCAAAAACCCTAAATATTGAACACCGAATCAACTAATATATGGAAAATTAAATACGGCCCAGATCACAAAAACTATAGTATAAATCGGAATCGCAGCAACAAACACAACCACAGAATCGAAAAGCGACGAGAACCCAGATTTCATTTCCCATCGAATCAATAACAAATTAAATACCCAAATCAAATTAACATCTGATTAGAAAATGAAATTAAACAAATTCAATGAAAAGCAAAAGGAAAATAAGAAAAGATAGAAGCTTACGGCTGGGAAACGGGTATCGAGCTTCTTTCTCATAATTTGGGTGTCAGATTTGGATTATTAAAATATTAAAAATAAAAAACCTAAATGAAATCGAAATATATATATATATTAAAAAAAAACTACTTCAGAAGAAAAAACGATATTGTTCTAAGCATTTGAATTACGAACAATTCAATAAAATCTAAACTCACAAAAAATAAAAACATTTCAGATCCGAAGACTTCCTCTTTTTTCCTTCTTTTAGTTCTAAAAAAAACAAACATAAAAAAGAACTCTTTGTTTCAAGGGTAAGTTACAGCCTTGATCATTTTGTTTGGTTTTATTCTGATTTGGATCACCTAACTTTCAATTTTATGTTTTGTTCACTTACATTACAATGTAGCATATTAAAAGGTTTAACTTCTAATTTGATACTAAAATTTAGATAAAATATTAATTTGGACCTAAAATTTTGTTTCATTTATGTTCCACTTTCTCAAAAAACTTCTAATTTTTTTTCAATCTCTCTTTTAACTCGTACTACCGGCTTTTACTGTCGATGCCGCTCCACCTACCTTATTCGACCGATGATGATAGTAAATCAAAATTTTCTTTTCATTTTTTTCCTTTATAATTTTTTAAATTATTTTTTTATTATTAATTTTCAAATAACATCAAAACATAATACTAAAAAAAACCAAAAACAACCCTCAAAATAAATGAAAGTTAAAAAAGATTTACATCAAAGAAGATGATCATCCAATAATGAGTGAGAAATACCAAATTGATGATAGAATTTAATTAAAATAAATTAATAAAATATAAAAACATTAAAAAGTTAAAATATATGAGAGTTTTCTCTATTATATTCAAACAAAGTTGACCATAAATGTAATCTATTTTCTTAATGCTATAATATTATTTAAATGATATAATGAGATAGAACAAAGAAAGGGAAATTTATTTGGACAACTCCATCTATGAACACCTCTGGTTACCATATATTCATTTGAGGCACATGGTTATATGAACTTCAACTTGATAGAGTTGCCAAATTTAAAGTGATGCATAGGTGTCCAAATTTGTATTTTTACCATAACAACTAAATATCATGGATTTGTTTATAGTAGTGAATATGTATGTATATCTATGTATGCATGAATAATTGAAGCATTATAATGAAAATTATTCAGATTGACAACTTGAAAATAGATTTCTTGCCATAATTGAAGCAATGTCACTAATTCAAACCCTAATATAAATCAAATAACATCCCTCATGATTCCCCCCACACCAAATATTCATATAAGTTTAGTCAAGCTGCCAAAGCATCTGAAAATGGTACCCGGCGTCGGTGCTTCGTCATCCGAATCGAGGGTCGAGCTCAATCTTGTCACTCCTACAAACCATATACCTCCTTGGTCCGAAAGACGACCCGAAACGAATGTGATTTACAATTGCAACTACTGCAAGAGAGCGTTCTCTAGCTCTCAGGCCTTGGGGGGGCACCAAAATGCACATAAACAAGAACGCGCATTAGCCAGAAGGGCTCGACGGATAGGACCGAGTGATTTTCTCCGTCCGATCTCTACCTATTACCCTTATTCAATCTTTTATTCTAACCCTTTTCTTGGATATTTGAACCGATCACCCTTTGGGGTTAGAACTGAATCCATGATCCACAAACCACTGTATTCACTGATGCCATACAGATCGGGCGGATATCATCTAGGTCAAGGTTACACTAGGCCAGCCATGATGAACCATCCTCAGCTGAGTTTCAATGGAAGATTCAGCATGAACAATGGCGGATTCACGGTCCCGGTGCCTTCGAGCTCTTCGGTAATCAACGGAATCGGTTCTGTTGCGAGCTTTACTAACAATTCTCAAGTAAATGTCGAAGTGAATAGACCGGCAGCAGGAAGTGATGAAAACAAGGATAGTTCAGGAATTGATTTAACCCTTAAGCTTTAATTTATCTTTAGTATTATTGTCCTTTAATAAGTTCCAAGTGAAGTTTATTTCATGTTTATTATGATTAGTTGTTCAAGTTTATGTTTGAACTTCTATGTTTATTTAATTTTGAGTAAACTACAACATTCATCACTAGACTTTATTTTCCCCCTATTTTATTCATTGTACTTTCAATTTTTTTAATTATTCATTGAACTCGAATGTGATATACTATTTCACCCAAAATTTATGCCAGAACTCGAGTTCCTATTAAAATTAATGTAGTTTATTTTGTGTCGGAACTCGAATGTGATATATTATTATTGTGTTTGAATCTTTGTACGAGCATAAAATAACAAAATAAACTTTTAAATAAGCTTATTTATTTTTTTGAAACGTAAAATAAACTTCTTATTACATTTTATTAATGTATAAACCACTTATTAATCGCAATGCAAACACAGATATTGAAATTCAAATATTGAAATCATAAAATAACGATCTTAACATCGCGTTATAATCGATGTTTAAATTCCCAATACCGAGGGCTTATAATCGGGACGAGACAAGAAAGTAGCATCGGCGTTCCGATCACTGCAATAAAGGCAAGGGTGTTGATCAAATCCTTGAGCCTCTAATACCTTCCTAGCCATAGTCACAACCTGTTTATTGCTCAATCCGCCAGAGTTGTCTTTGAGTACCATCTGGATGGCATTGCTAAACGCCCCGTAAGCCTTTCTGTTGAAAATTCAATATTAGCCTAAATAAGTTCACACCTAAATTAATTTGATGTCATTGCTTACATCAATTTAGTATTGATGTCATTGCTTACATCAATTTAGTTAGGTGAAAATTAAATATTTTTATCATGTTTTAATTTCAATGGTTTAGATTATTTTAATGAGTGGTTTAGATTGTTTCTTGTAACCTATAAATACCCTACTTGTATTTGAGTTTTATCATCCAACAATCAAAGCTTAATTATAAACATTTGAAAGCTTCCTTAAGAGTTCTTCCCTTTTGCAATTTTGTGAGATTATTCTAAAGAGTTTTTTCTTCTTCTCGATCAATTAGAGTTTTTACTCTATTTTGATTCAACACTTTCCGCCCCTCTCCGTCGACGTCATCGGGTTCATGTCGGCCGACGTCTCGTCTGCTTGGCACCCACTTAAGAGAATCCCCTCGTCGGGCTTCAAAAACTTGAATAGATCAGAATTGAGTTGCGGTACGAGGAATTTAAGGCTGGCATTGGCACCAAAGGATTCTAACAAGTGGGTGCCGATGTCGGATGAGTTGATCCCTGTTAGTGCTGATAGGTGGTGAAGTATGGATTCGAAAGGGATGGTTTTGGGCTTGTAAGAAAGTGATGATGAAGTTGTCTTGTACGTAGATGGTCCGATTTGTTCTTTTTCTTTGTCGATGAGACCGCCACTGTGGCACGAATCCGACAGGATCGTGAAACTTGCTCCTTCGGGCACTCGGTTAACTAATTGTCTGAAGTCCATGTCTGCAATAATCATGCATCATCTAAATTTAAGTGCCAAATCGGATAAGTAATTTGCTTTTGTTTGTGTGTGTGTATATATATATATATATATATATATATATATTTGTAAAAAATTCATAATGATAAAATTATGTTTAACGTTTCATTAGATGATAATTTAATTTTTATTCTTTTAAAAATATTTTAAGCTCAACATTTTATTTTGAGATAAAATAATCTCTGATTAGATGAAAACCGTTATTTTACTAAACATTTGTCATTGACAAGACTAATTCTGTGTTTACATAAGTGATAATGTGGCATGTGCTATGTGCACTTAAATAATGATGTGACACATGTCACTTCACTTGTTCAAAGTTATGACTTAATACATGTTATGCATATATAAGTGATGACATGATACATGCAACATATATATAAGTGATGATGTGACATGTGTCATGTGTACCTAAGTGATAATGTAACACATATCAATGTTTAAAATGACGTAGCACATATCAAATATTCAAAGTGCTAACATAATTATATCACATATACATAAGGGATGATGAGACATATACTGTATGCATCTAAATGATTATGTTGAATATGTCACGTGAACATATTACGTCATACTTTGGATATATGTTATCTTAATGATAAACATGGATCATTAATTAATTAATAAACTTTATCTAATCTAGAGTAATTTTATTTCAAAATAAATTATTGGGAAAAATATTTTGAAAAAAATTAAGTATTAAAAACAAATTAATTTTAGACTAAGTGATAATGTAACACATATCAATGTTTAAAATGACATAGCTCATATCAAATATTCAAAGTGCTAACATAATTATATCACATATACATAAGTGATGATGAGACATATACTGTATGCATCTAAATGATTATGTTGAATATATCACGTGAACCTATTACGTCATACTTTGGACATATGTCATCTTAATGATAAACATTGATCATTAATTAATTAATAAATTTTATCTAATCTAGAGTAATTTTATTTCAAAATAAATTATTGGGATAAATATTTTGAAAAAATAAGTATTAAAAACGAATTAATTTTAGCTATGACAATAAAATACCCGTGATGAGATTGAAATTAGCGGGCACAATTGCTTCATCTTGTCTGAAAACATGGGCAGGTTTCAAGTTAGGAACCCTTGTTCCATGTCCACTATAATGGAAAAACAACACATCACCGGCTTCGGCCTGGCTCACCATCTTACCCAATGCCGCCTTAATGTTGGCCCCCGTCGGCAGAACCACGGATGATGATGATCCTTCTCCCGCTGCTGCTGGTGCATCCGTAAGGAGCTTGATATTCATCTGTTTGAATCCGAATCGATTAATCAGCACATCTCTCATGGCTACCACATCGTTTACGCACCCATGCAACTCGTATTGGGTGTTTGGGTAGTTGCAACCTACCAGAACTGCCAATCGCTTGTTAACTTTCGCCATTGATGCTGAGATTTTGAGCACGAATTAGATGATTGCGGTCGTAATGGATGTTATCGAATATCAATGGAAACAAGAATCGGAACTGCGAACTAATGAGATGTGCTTGTGATTATATAGTAAATGAAGTTCCATAGCTGGCTTGGGAAATCGTTCAAGCAACCTTTTTGCCTTGTTGGATGCCTTTTAAGCGTCGGAAGAATGCTTCAATGATTTAATCTTTGCTGAACATAGAAATAATTTCAACAAAAGAAAACTTCTAGTTTGGGCACAATGACACATTTAATCCTAAATTTTTACACATGATATCAATTTGATCCTCAATCTTTCCAAAAAAATCAAATTATTATTACTTTAATGAAGTGCTCACTAAAGTAATGAATTGTTAACAATTTTGTCATGACAGACTGTTAGTTCATGAAATACACATAGATTATTTGTCTTATATGCTATTTTCAATGAAAATTCAAAAAACAATTATAAAATAATAAAAATGAACATGAAATAAACATAGACTATCACACAATATTTCAACTCAGTTTATTAAAATTTAACATCTTTTTTTTCTCGGAAAATCAATTAATAATAAGATTTAACTCATATTGTGAGTAGGAGTGAGCAAAACTCGACTTGACTCGACTCGAAAAATCAACTTTTTCAACTTAACTTGACTCGAATTGACTTCGAGTTGTAATTTCATAAACTCGACTTGACTTTAAAAAAATTTAAGTTCAAACTAAGTTGTAAAATACAACTCAAATAACTCAAAATTTTTAGTAATTAGCGGATTGATTTTTAAGTTGGAGTCTAGTATCTCGAATTTGTATGATATATATATATATATATATCACATATGAAAAAATATGAAAATATATATGTATTTTATATGGTTATAAAAAACCATTTAAATTGGAATCAAATAGTATCATAATATTACAAATATTTACCATTAAATTTAAACAGAAACTCGAAAATTTGACTCAACTCGAATTTTATAAACTCAACTCGGCTTGAAAAATTTACGAGTCAACTTCGAGTTGTAAAATAAGAATCGTCAACTGGAATAAATCGAATTTTTTTTTACTCGACTTGACTCGATTGAATATTCACCCTTAATTGTAAGCATCGTTAAAAACCTCCCTAACCCTAGATGGAGAAAAAGAGTACTGCACAATTAATAATAAAATTTAACATCTTAATTCATATGTTCGTTAAAATGGTGATTCTACATTTTTGAAAGATTGATGCTTAAATTTTACATAATAAATAAGGAGTAGATTAATAAAAATTATAAATATTAACCTTATAATTATGCTAAAATTTTAATTCAATGTTTATTATTATTGTTGTTGGCCAACAAAAGTGAGGAGAACAGCTTATTTTTTGTTGTAAATGCAAAGCAATGTAATAAAATTCTTCTACTTTCTTCCTTTTAAATTCTTTCCAATTAAACATAGCTTAAATCCCAAACACAAAGACACTAAAATTATATATCAATTATGGAGAGAAATTAGACTCATAATTCAACAAAGTTGAAACTATACATCTCTTTAATTAAATGAATTAAATCTCATAAATATTTGAAATATAAAATCGAAAGTCAAGAGAATATCGACCCTGCTAGATTATGAGTCTATATCTCAATCAAACAGAGAAACTAGACTCATAATCCAACAAAGTCGAAATTATATGACTCTTTAATTAATTGAACAAAATCGACTTTAATCAATTTAATTTCACTAAAAAATGTTCACTCTTTGATTGTCAACTTAATCTCAACTTTACTGAATTATGAGTCTAGCACTCCCTTTATTTTCATGCAATGACCAATCGACCGAACAATGAAGAAGAAATAAAAACTAGACTCATAATCCAGTAAAGTCGAAATTAAAATAATAAGATATAAAGGAGAAAAATACATGAAGAAAAATAGGCTATATTGGCTAGCACCCCCTATAATCTTAAGACTATGGTGACGAGGGAAACAAGAAGTAAATCATATGTATTTATAATTAAAGTCTAGTGAAATCAAGGGTTAGCACCGTTGGTCGAGGGTCATTACAATTTCTTGGTAAATTGTTTATAGATTTTCCACAAATGAAAATTACTTGGTATTTTCCTATGTTGTTTTCCTCCTTTCTTTGATACCAAAAAGTCGGGCTTTTTTTACACATATGCCAAACACATTAGACCAAAACGTAAATAATTTCACAGCAATTGCTAAAGCACGTCCATCTCAATACACAATAATCTTTGGCAATTATTACAAATGATAATAAAACAATGAGAAATCCAAAAATATTTACTTTTGAGGATCAACATAAATATATTAATAATAGAAAACTTTTATACGAAGTATATATAAATAAAATTTCAGGGTAGACCGCTTTAATAAAATGAACGATTAATATAAAAAAATTAAATTCAAAGGTGAACACATACCCATCTTAAACGACACTTACATCTGTCACTGACTATAAAGACTTGATTGAGCATGACTCGAAGGAGATGCAGAAATAAAAGCACTTATGAGTCATTTTGACTTAGGTTCAAATTTATATTTAATTATAGTATTATAGAGAGGATTTTGGATTATTTTGAGAGAAGACTGTAAAATATTTACATTCATAAAATTGAAGGTATTTGTTTTTCATATGAATTCGATACATTAATATTCATGTAATATGAATTTTTGAGAATTTTGTATATTCAAGTCGAATAATTATATCATGTCAAAGTTTTTCATTGTCGGTAATATTCTCCTTCCTCACACTCGGCATAGTGACGAGGAATAGAAAACATAGCACAATAAAAGAATGTTAGAGTTTGTGATCTAAATTTCATTTTGATCCGATCATAAAGTTTGTGGTGTTGCACGTTTGGTAGAATAAATACAACGAGAGGAAAAAAAAAAGATTTTTGATGAATGTGGAACCTACGTGAAAAGGGTCTTATCGCACATCCAATTTGAACAAGATTATAAAATAATTGTTTCAATGACTTAATGTGACATCTTGAGTCCGTTGTTTATAACGCTTCATGTTTAGAATGTTGTATTAATATTTAATTTGATTTTGAATAATAATATTTAAATAATTTAAAAATAAAAATAGATTTTAATTCTCAAACAACTTTATAGATTTAAATTTCCAATAATTTAAAAGTGACATATATCTTACCCTTTACTATTCCTCATCTAAATACTTGGAATTACAAGAAAAGGGAATGGAATTCTTTTAATTTGTTTGGTGAGAAAGAAGGAAAAGGAGTGGTTGCTTAACAACTATTATTAATAAATTTGTTGGTAGTCACCATTTGAGATGTGAAAGGTTGAGTAAGTCAATAGTCAAAACAATTTTTTTATTATTTATTCAATCCCTTTTAGAAACAATTAACAGAACTAATTGATTTTAGCATTGAGATAATAAATAAACTTCATTTTGAATTATTTTAATTGAAATTTTATTGAGGGCGAACTCTTTAATTTCACATGATTTAAGCTTGAATTTTCTTTTATTTTTCTTTTCTCATGTATTTCCTATAATCATATGATAACATGTTAAATCAAAATATAAATAAATTTACAGGATCATTCATATTGTTTTTTTTAAATAAAACATATTACATTTATTTAAGGTTTAGTGGGATCATTCAGTGAACTTTCCTTCCAAATCCTTATCCCTTCATTTTTCCTTTTAAAAAAAATCAACCAATGCTATATAAAATATATGATTTGAATGCGTCAACTCATCTTATTATTCATAAACGAGGCAAAAAATAAGAGCCAACTACCAAGTAATTTTAGTTTGCCTATAATGTTAGTTTTGATGGATTATGAGTCTAGTTTTCATGTCTTCATCAATGTTTGATCAAATGATCAATAGATGCAAACGACAGAAAAGTAGACTCGTAATTCAACAAAACCAACATTAATTCGACTCATCATTGAAGACGATCATTTATTTAAAACCGAACATAATCAATTAATCGAAGTACATAGTTTTGACATGTATAAGGTCTCTCATTACTAATAGTTCCTACAATGTGTACTTTACTGGTTTATGCGTCTAGTTTTATGTTTGAGGTCTGAGGAGATCTAAATTCATAATCAAGCAAAGTTCACTTGATCCCAACTCTTAATCTCAATATTTTCGATAAATTTCGAAAATATCAAACTCAATGGCAAGTAAAATGTATTAGTGACAAAATCCATCAGTAATCTTTGCAATGGTATGGAGCATTTTGTTGTTGAGGGTTGTCAGTGAAGGTTTTGATGTATTAGTGAGAATAGAAGAAACTGTATCAGATGCTCGTGATGTGTTGTTGGTCTTTCTTGTGTTCAGTCAGTTGTCGGATTTAAATCGTGTTGTATGAATATGTTTAAGTAGGCGTCTCTTTTGTATGTCTTGATCATCCTTATGTGCTCTTTCCCCTTCTAATTCGAGGGTTTTTTTTTAATGAGGCATAAATTAATCTTGTACGATTTTTTATTTCAATAAAGTTCACTCATTTAATTTTTATACATATCATTTAATTTCAATTTTTTAAATTTTCGTTAATTTGACATTAGATATGATAATGTGTATTTATGATCTTTTATATTTTATATTCAGCTGAATCACTCTGAATTAGAGATAACATTTTAAGTTACGAGTTTAGATATTTATGAATATTTCATTCACTTTTTTATAGATTCAGATATAATGGGTTCGAATATTGAAAATATTATTTATTGTAAATTTAAAGCGAATACATATAGATAGCATCAAATATCTATTTATTTAAATTAACATTACTCATGTAAATGCAGCTTGCTGATTCAAATATATAAACATATTTTTTTGTTATAAAATGAAGAGTATGTTTGCTTCTAAAAGAATTCAAACCTTGGTCATTTATGTAGAATTGAATATTCAATATACTCTTTTCTATTAGTATGAGATAATTATAATGTAGTAATTGTTTAAAAAATTTGATCATTTTGATAATGCACTCGTAAAACCGTACAAGTTTTTTGTTAAAACTTGAAACCTTTAAGCATATCAACTATT